AGGGCTGAGTCCTGTGGATGTTCCTGATGCTGAGACGGGGCACCGAGAGCCCTGAAACAGCTCAGGGCGATCTGCCCGTGCAGCACTGGGGGTTTCAAGGGGCAGAAGTTGGAGACCCGTAAAGACTCCAAACTCAGTCACCCATGTCTAAAAGGGGGACCTCAGCCCACCAGAGCCTTCAGTGACACCCCTTCCCCCAGAGAAGACCTTTAGACTGGCATGCAGAATCTTTAGTAATAAACCAAAGAGGGGCAGGTCCATGGAGCACCTGTAGGTTCAGGCACATTTAGCAGTGACTGCGCAGGACTGTGGGCAGGAGAGGTGGGCTTCACTTCTGATCCACAGGTGCTGCAATTTTCTGCCCTTTAGGAAACTCCTTGCACTAAAAAGCAGGGGTTTTGTTAGCCAGGAGTGGGAGGAATAGGTGCACAGCTTTTTCCTCTTCGAGCCAGGGAAGTAAAGGGGCTCTCTTAATCACAGGACCTCTCTTTTCTCCTGCAAAGTGTTTTACAGACCGCTTGACTAGAGGAGAGATGATCCTGATTTGAGTCATCCTAGCCTCTGCCTGCCAGCAAACTAATCACAGCATTGCCAGGAACCATCCCGAAGTCTGATGGCCACAAAAGATAACCGTGGCTGTAGCCGGGGGCGGGGGGCAGCAGGATGAGTGCACCCTGCTCCCAGCTCTGTTGGAAATGATGGAATCATAGAATATCTCAAGTTGAAAGGGACCCGTAAGGATAGTCGAGTCCAACTCCGAGGTCCTCACAGGACTAAATCCTTCAGAAAACCCCGAGCAGGTGTGGGAAGAGGCTGAGTGTAAAATCCCACCTCCCCTAGGGTTTGGCACCCCGCGGGACACCAGTGGAGTGATGATTCTGGGGGGCTGTTGGGACCCCTGCACTGCAGCGGGTGCAACCTAACTGAGACCCCCTCCCAGCCCACGGCATTGGAAAGACCCGTGAGAGGAGAATTACTTCCAGGACCCTCAAGAAACCACCACGGATAGGTGGGGGAAGGATGCTGCGGGAGATTTGGGGGGTCGGAAAGTGGGGACAGCCCACGTCGGGGCTGTCCATCACTTGGGGGTGCCTTGGGGAAGCTGGAAGCGGACCCGCAACACCTCTCCATGGTTAGTCAGGGCTCTCCGGGTACTCACCTCGGTGCGGAGCGGGGCGGCGAAGGGGCCCGATCCCGCGGCAGGTGCCCGCTCTCTCCGGCTCCTGCTTTATATGCATCGCCCCAAGCTCTGATTGGTCCGGCCGCCTCCCGTCACGTGACCCCCAACTCCCCAAGAACTCCCCGGACCCCCCCACTGCCCCCTGTCCCTCCCCGGGGGTTCCCCCCACGCGTGGGGTGCGGGATCCCCGCTCCCCCGCGCATCCCTGGAGGGGAGGCTGGGAGGTCGGCGCGGGGAGGAGCAGGGAGGGAGGAAGGGTCCCAATGGGTCGTGGCGTGGGGGTGGGGGGTGGAGGGGTGTCGGTGCCGCCCGTGGGTTCCAACCCGGGGCGGGCATCGCGTGCGAAGCGGGCGGGATGTTTGGGCAAACCCGCACCGCCCCGGTCACTCCAGTCACGCTACCGGCAGGATCTTAAAGGCGCCGGTCCCGCGCCCCGCGGCTCCCCACGACCCCGCCGGGGGATGCCCCGGCTCCCCTCGCCCCCCAAAACCCACAGGGTTCCGTACACACGCACTCGCGCCCCCTGCCTCGGTGTCCGCAGCCCCGGGGCAGCCCCGGGGTATCCCCGGTGTCCGGAGCCGTGGGGAGAGCGGGAGCGTGGGAAAACCGTCCCGAAACGCTAGGTGCGGGGCAGGAACGGGTGGGATTGGGGTATTCGCCCCTCCACGGGGCTCCGCGAACACGGAGGGATGAGCGTGGACCCCTCGCCGCGGGGCTTAAGCGATCACACCCCTCCGCGGGGGCTTTGCTCATCCCGCCGCCGGTGTACCCGGTAAAACAGAAGCGGGTGTTACCGGCTCCGTGCGTCTCCCCCCACCCCACGCTGCTGGACCTCTCCACAGCCCCATGGGGTCTGCGCACGGAAAAGGCGGCGATGCCGCCCCGGGGGTCACGGCCCCGGCTACCCCGACCCGGTTAAAGATTGTCCAGGTTCGCGTGAGAAGCCGCTGTGCCCTTTGTCACCTCTGTCCCCTGGTGGCAGAGCGACCCAGGGGGCAAGGTAGGGCTGGGATGGGGCAGAGGGTGCAACCGGAGGGAGGGGAGTCACGTCGCGGGGGATGCTCGGGGTCCAAAGGGGGTCTCAGGCAGAGGTTGCAGCCTCCATCCCCGGGAGTGACAGGCCAGGATCTGCCCTTCAGGGTGGACAAGGGGGACCAGCTCGCACCCTAAATCTCTCCCCCTCCTCCCGCATCCTTGTTCCCAGCCCAGCTGCAATGAGATGGGAGATATGCGAGGGGTGTCCCACCCCTCCGGGGGGTCCCAGAGGTGGCATTAGGGACATCGCGTGCGAAGGGGCTTTGGCCAGACCCGGGAGGGCTGCCCTGGTCACTCGCAGTCACGCTACGAGTGGGTGGGGGGGAAATGGCTTTTAAAGGACCAGGGCGGTGGCCCCACGTCCAGGAGCCTGGCCCGGGGTCAGGGCGGCGCCAGAGGAGCTCAGAATCAGCTCAGGATCAGCTCTTCCCCCCGGCTGTCTGGGTGTTGGGGGGGTAGGGGGTCCCCAGCACTGGGTACATCATCGGGGTCAGCAGGGGTGCATCCTCTCTGCCACAGGATGCTGCATCACCTGCAAGGGGACAGCAGCCCCCTTGTCACTTGTGTCCCTCTCAAACAGCCGCAGTCATCCCAGCCCCTTCCAGCCACAAGGAGTGGGATAGAGAGAGGTTTCCCACCCTGCAAAGAGGAGAGGTTTTAGTTGTGCCACTAAAATGTCCCCTTTTGGGGTCCAGGGGACACTGAACAGTGCTCTGTCCCCCAGGAGCACACTGTGGGGCATGACCACAACTGTTCCCATGGCTCGGGACACTCATAAACCCCAGGTGGGGACGTCTCCAGCACCGTGGCACCTCATCCAACATGTGGGGGCACCCTCACCCATGGCTCCTGGCTGTACCCACGTCCCTCCCATGCAGGTGTGAGCGTCCACCCCATGTACCTGTGCACCTGTGCAGGTGTGTCTCTGCGCAGACAGACCGCACACAAACCTTGCACACACAGAGCCGGCGCGCATCCGTGTGCTCGGACACACTCAGGGATGCAAACACCCTTTATGCTCCTTACAGACCCATAACCCTCCTGCATGTGCACGTGCTCATGCACGCACACGCCCTGCCACATGTGCACATGCCTGCAGGCACCGTCATCCTCCTGCTCACCTCTGTCCTCGCACGCACACGCTGGCATGACCAATCCCATGGGATGGTGACCCACGGAGGGAAGTGTGGTACAAGACCCATCAAAGGCAGGGGGCTGGCAGCATTGCCCCAGCTGCTTCAGAGACAGTTCCAGGGATCCAAGGGTTCAGCGAGGGGTGGTGGCTGGGGGTGAAGATGTGTTTTTGGGGGGTGAGGCTGCCTGGCATGCAAGGCAGCAGCTCTTAACACTGTTCTCATCAGAACGCACCCTGCCCTCGCAGGGCTTGGTAACCAGCACAGAGGAGCCAGGGAGGGTTGGGAAGGAGTGGAAGAGGGCAGGTGGGTCCTGGGGAATGCCTTGGGGATTCCTGGTTTGGCCCCAGGACCCTCCCCAGCTTCTCCAGAAGTTTAGGATATGATGGATCAGGAGAGGCAGGGGTGAGTTCCCCATCAGCACAAGGCCACCAAGGTCTGAAATGCTGCCAGGGGAGGGGGAGGTCACTCAGTCCTCTACCCGCCCAACCCCATGCAATGGATCCAGGTAGATCCACAGGACTGGGAGAGACTGACTGGATCCAGCCTGCCAGACAAGCACTGCTCCTGCAAAGCTGCAGCCTGCCTCCCCAAAAGCATTCCCAAGGGCCCTCCTCACCAGTGAAGCCAGGGCTGTGAGGGCTGCGACATTCCTGGGAATTATCAACAGGAATATTAGCAGCCAGGGTTTTGTAACTGTTCTTGCCAATCATTAAAGAACGGCGTCACTGCTATTAATGAGTCCGATTAAACCAGGTGTTGAAAGCCTTTATTAAATATTAGCTCAGCTTTTACCTGGGCCAAATTCCCACTGGAATTTTCAAAGATTGAATGAAACTTCGGGCCAAACCTCAAAGCTCTGCCTCATTCCTGCTCATCCCAGTTGCACTTCCCAAATTCCCCTGAATTTTGCTCCCCCTCGAGCAGCAGCCCTTCTAGCTCAAACATTTCCTGATGAGTGTCACGCTGTTTCGGGGGGATGAACTGCCTCAGCCTTGCCCTTTGCTGCCTCTTCACCTCTCCTATCTCTCCAGCTCACCTCCTCCCCTCTGCCCTGCCACTCCTCCTCCTCACTGCCTGTTTGCCCCGGAGGAGCCAAGGGAAGCGAGCCAGCTGCCTTCTCACGCAAACCTGGGCAATCGTTAACCTGGGCCTGGCTCTGCTGCTGGCCCAGATGATCCTGCAACCATCAGTCCTAG